ACGGGTTCTCTTGTGTTTGCCCAGTACGTCGGAGTGCAGTTCATCAGCGCGGTCAAGCCCATCCTGAAGGACAGCTGGAGCCCGCAGGTGGAACAGGCCTGGGAGGTGAATATTCCTGAGTTTGGGCTTCATTGTGCCCCATTTGAATCAGAGCAAAGTGCCGCAGCTTTCGGTGAGATCATGGTTGTTAATAACCGTTGGGAAACATTTTCGGTATCAACAGTAAACCGCAAGCCAGAGGCCACAAGTGGAATCTAGATAGAGGAGCTTCAGAACGTGCACAGGATGCACTTCCTTACGCAAAGGGTTGTGGGAGCGTGGAACAGGCTAATCAGCCATGCTGTTGAAGCCGATACACCGGTTTTCTTTGGAGAAAGAGCTGGATGAGATTCTGGGATCAATTAGCTACTAACGACCAAACAGTCCAGATGGTCTGAATAGCTCCTCTTGTTTGTCAACACTTTTGACGTTCTCCGGCTACGGAATGTGATGCGGATATTCTAAGATATCCTGTGGTATAAATAGTCCTGATGCGAAGGAGGAAACCACGAAGCACATTTCATATGATACAAACATCTATATTGCCCTGCTAATACGAATCGTTCAGTGTTGTTCTACAGGGCAGGTATATCAGGACATCCGTTACAGGACTAGGTGGTTAACGCTTGAATACCTCTGTAAGGAGTGTATTATCACAGGATAGATGCCTTGCAGGTGTTACAGGCTGATGCTGGCCAATGCAGCAGGTCTAAAAGAGAGCGAGAGTGTATTAAGTTGTGGTGGAGAATTCACTCATGATTAGCACTGTTTCAGAGAGGGCTAAGATCACCGTTACAAAAACGCAAGTCTCTTTCAGTTCTTGGCTTTTGCTTGACCCCAGAGTTTATTCGCGTACCTGGCGGCCGTGATGAAGAGGGGGTACCACGAGGAGGAGCACAAGGACGGGGTGAACAAGGCGAGCTACGCGAGGAAGAGGCCGCCCCAGAGCCCGGCGGAGGAAGCGCCGCCCAACTGCATCTGACGGCGCCGGCGCGCTCCGTGCCGGTTTCTGCGACCGGGGCGGTGTGGTCCTGAGCCCAGCACCGGCAGTCCGACCCATTACATGCGAACAGCAGCCCCGCCCTTAACCAGAGTGAGAGTCTCGTGAGCCGTCAGTGTCCAGCTGCTGGATGGACGGTAGCTGAGTGCAATGAGGAGCCCGGCAGGCGGCACTCAGTTACTGCGCCTGTGTCACATCAATGCCCAGTTTTGTGACCCCCATTTCGCAGCAAGACATCCATTACGTGGGCAGGGTGGGTGGGCAGGCAGGGTGAGGGAAGGGCTTCTTTAAAGACAGGTGAGTTGACAGCTTGAATGAATGATGCCTCTGAAAAAATGGAAGGTTTTATTGCAGCCAACTGGAGCCTCTGACAGAAGTCAGACTCCTCTCTAAGCTGGCCAGAGCCACCTGGTGAGAGTCAGTCTGGTTATTCCCCAACACAATAACATGAAATAGCTGGAATTGTAACCAGATCTCCGAGTCCTACTCCCGTCCTGGCCTCCCTGCATTGGCAACCAGTCAGGTTTGGGAATCGTCTACAAGCCCACCT